AAAAAAAAAAAAAAAAAGAAAAGGGAAGGCAGGGCCACCAAATGAGGCAGCGCGGGCACAGCCAAGACAGCCACCATCGTGACCCCGGAGCCCCACCTGTCCTGTTGGGCCTAGACTGGGCTCACCTATGACCGGTGACGCTTTGAATCCAGCCTTCTCCTGGCCTCTGGGACACGGCACTTGTCCATGCAGTTGGTGTCCTGGGAGGCTCAGGACTGTGGACCCAGCGGGTGCTGCACACCCGGCACTGCCACCCCTGGGAATCTCCCCAGCTCCCCGAGTCCCAGTGAGGGGAGAAAAAGTGAGATCTTCCCCACCCATCTCACAGGAGGCCCCCCTAACACAAGACAGATTAACAAGAGAAGAAGCATTTAGTCCACTTTGCGTGTCATTAAGGAACCCCTGAGGCTGGTAATTTATCAAGAAAAGATGTTTATTTGGCTCGTGGTTCTGCATGGTGCTGGTATCTGCTTGGCTTCTGGTGAGGCCTCAGGAAGCTTTTACTCATGATGAAGGGGGTAGGGAGCCAGTGTGCCACATGGCAAGAGAGGGAAGGTGCCAGGCTCTTTAAACACCCAGTTCTTGCGTGAACTCGTAGAGCGAGAACTCATCCGTCACCGTGGGGAGGACACCAAGCCATCCATGGGAGACCAAACCCAGGACCCAGACACCTCCCGCCAGGCCCAGCTCCAACACGAGGGGTCACATTTCAGCATGAGACTTGGAGGGGACAGACATCGAGACTCTATCCAAAAGCGTCACAGATGATTGGAATATAAATAGTGCATGGCACAGAGGTCTTAAGGAACGAAAACCCAAAGAGCCAGGAAGTCTGTGTGTCTCTGTGCTTGTGTTTGAAGAGGGGACAGTACCAGAGAAGTGTGACTGGAAAGCGAAGGCATGTGAGTCAACCGAGGCAGGGCTCTCTCTGCAAGGCCTGTCTGTCCAGGGTCTCCATCTCCTCATGACCTTCCTTCCCCCAGGCATGGGGCAGGACCCCTGTCACGTGAGGGTCTTCCGGGAGAAGGGAGGGAGAGGCCCGAGGGCTTGGGGGCTGCTTCAGGGGAGAAGGGGGGTGGGGGAGTGTTCTTCCTGCTTCCGCTGTTTGCCCAGTGTCCACGGTGCCTAGTGGACAGTGCCCCGCCCCAGTCTCTCGTTTGGAAGGGGAGCCACGTGCTACTGCCCCCTGGCACGGCGAGCGTCACGTGGCACAGATGAGCCCCCAGATCCTTGCTCCTCTCTGCCGCCACCGCTGCCAGCCCCAAGAGCTGGCTCTCTCCAACCCGAGCAGATCTCAGGTCCCTCTCAGGACTGTCCTGTCCATGGAGGAGGGTGTGGCCTCGCTCCCCAGGCCGTCGTGGGGAGGAGAGAGCATCTTTGTGTCTTGCCCTGTGGCCCCGGCAACATCCACTTTGGCATGCCCAGAACTCACTCTGCTTGATCAGGGTCTCGTCCCCAGCTGGGATCCCAGGCCAGAGCTGTGGGTGGAAACCCAGGGACCGGCTGTCTCCACCCCTTCTCCCCAGGCCTGGGCACAGACGCGAGGACGCTGCCGCCCACCTCAGCCCATCCGCTCCTGCCAGGGCCCATTCAGCTCCCTCACCAGGCCTCCCTCGGAGCTGTTTCCTCCTCCCCATGGGACAGCTGTCCCTGGCAGGACCCAGACCTGGCCTCCTCAGGGCTCCCCGCCTCCGCCCCAGGGCAGCTGATGGGGCTCCCTGAGACCACAGCCTCCCGGGTGGTCAGGGCAGGGCCCGCTGCATGATTTGCAGGGTCCAGTGCAGAATGGAAAATGTTGACCATCAACCACAAGCCCTGCTCCCTTTTGTCCACATCTCCCCACCCCCAGACCTGTCACTTTGTTCTTTATGGGCTGTTTAATGTCCTGCTGTCTTGCACACTGGGACGCTCTCCGGGCAAAACCCCAACCCCCGTCCCTGGGCTGGCCTCATGACTCAGTGCACAGTGTACCCACCTTTACCCCTCCATGGGCCCAGGCCCAGCCCAGGCACTTGGGGGGGGGGG